TAACAAAACACTGGTACTAGCAATTTTCGCGACGTCACGCAAGTGCATGAGTCAGTGTGAACTCATTGTCTTATTTCCTGGGGTTCTATGCTGTTTTGTTCACAGTATTTCAAATATTTTCGACCGCAGACCCAAATTTTATCAAGATTATTTTGATTTTATGTTTTACATTGTTAAAAAAGAAAATTCCAAAGAATACGAGCCTTAATTTGAAGCGTGGTTTGAAGCGAGCATATTTTTTTTTAATAAGTGCGTCCAATATATAAGTGCGTCCAACAACTGAAAATTGTGCTCGGTTTAGCATATCGTGAAGAGCCTCTAGCTGACGAAGAATGGACAGAAATCTATGGCGAATAAAACAAACTAATATTAAACACAGAACAAACTGCATAATTGATAACGTTGAATTCCGACAAGCAAAATTTTAAGTCGATTGACGCCAGAGCATTCCAAAATAATAATATTATTTATCGTTAAATAATCAACAAGAATGTACGTATATAATGAACGTTTAAACTTTTTTGCTTTTATAGTTTTAAAACTCTGAAAAATCGCACCGCGTTGCCAAACCAGCGTCCTGTCTGTGCGTCCTGTCTTTTGCAAAACAGCATTACTGAAAATTATAGAATTATACTACATCCTTATCGCGACACGTACCGTTTTAAAACACTTATAAGCTCGTAGATAATAAATTATTTTTCTTACTCCGCTTTGTCTTAAACTGTATCCATGTTCTTCTTGTATACTAGTTCTTATGTAGTCATCTTTTATCTTGTTTCTTCGCGTTTATTTTATAAAACGTTTACGAAACGCTTTTACAAAAGAGTTTATTGTACGAAATGACAGTTAAATTGCTGACGTTCTCATTAATTAAATACAAACTTTCTGTCTTAGCGAAACCCCAGAACGTTGTTGATTACCAGTCGTTACACGCGCAAGGGTTTAACTGACAAAACGGTCGACCGTCCACAGTCCATGACATAAATTTGGACAACTTTGGATTCCGCTACGTTCTCTCGAGTTCCGGGTGTAATTCCTAATAATCTCCGAGCGGAATTAATTAGTGGCGATAAGGTTTCCATATGCACAAGGGTTTTAATAAAAGCACGAATTCCAAAAGTTTAGACAGTCCTATATAAGTGAAAGTCATCTCCGTAAGTAAACATATGGTTTATTTACATCTTCTAACTTCTTCCTCAATCATCGAACTTCTATATACGTTTCCTAGTACCTTGTGCTGTCTGAATTTGAATTAGGTTTGCAACACTCCTAAATGAATATGAACCATATAGTGTTTATCCTGAGAAGCTTTATTATTAAAACGACATATTCACAACATAAACATATCGGCGAGAGAGTTGTACTTATAAGTCCCGGTTTCGGTTGAAAAAAAGGAAACATCGAGGTTTTAGACAGGTAAAGACGTTTATGATTTGACCTCTTTGATGTCTATATTTTATTTTATGTAATATTATTAATAAACATTTTTGTATACGATGCTCTTTAATACTTCTGGTTTTGTCGTGATTGTAGTGAATTCAATACATAATGTATACAATATTTTAGTTATCAACTAAGACATATTTTTATACACGCTATGCATATATTAATGCCTAGTTTGCGCTAGGAACTTGAAAACGAGTCGCACAATTGCAATGAAACACTGCAGTATTGTGTTGTTGGATTTTGTTGGCAGCTAATGTTGATATTTTTTACACTGATCAAAACTCGAAAGATTGTTGTAATGTTGAATTCTAGTCTTGTTTCCGTGGACATGACCACATGAACAGATTAATATCAAGAGTATGTGTGCTCCTTTAGCTGTCGTTCACACTCAATGATTTCAAACTACGTTAGCATTTCGATTTCAAACTTCTGTGGAGTATTGTTTTGTATATTAAGTAGTTCAGATTTTCAGTTGCTTCTCTACGCAAATTACACGAATAAGCAAAATAGTTTTACTCGAGAAACCTATTTTCCTGCGGGAGTAGCATATATCGCATTGATGAAAATGAGTACACGAATTTTTATAGGGCTATAAGAGTGAGTGTCAACAATACAGTAGCATCACGTGTAGCACGTACGCCCCGAGAACCATCTCATTTGTCAGAGCACCTCGGTACCAGGCCTCCAACCCGTACGCGGCCATACTTTTTACGTATATAGTTAAACTTAATCTTTTCTGCAGAATATATTATCCATAAATGTTAAAGAAATTCCCTCAGAAACTCTCAGAAACACATTTTACTGCATCCTGTTGCCAATTTTCCCTGATTTCATGAACCTAGTTATTTGATGACAAAATATCAATATTATCTTATCAATGGGTTATAGACCTTTCTAATAAAATTTAACATAGTAACTCCATATTAAACACTGTCTGAGTATAACACTAACACAACAAGTAACCTCAAAGGTGCTGGGGCAGTGGGGGAGCCTGCCCTTTATATGCATGCTCATGGACATTGGATGTATGAATCTAACAAGTTTAACTTTTCCAAGTTAGGATTGTCTAGTTTTTTGCTGTTTGCATTTTCATATAATTTTAAATAATTGAAAATATAATTGAATAAAGACAGACTTAAAGTAAACTAAAGTGCCTTATCTGTTATGCTACCGCCCCCCCCCCCCGCCTTTGATTGCTTCCGGTGCCTCTAAATAATTTCTGGCAGATAGTTACAGCAGGAACATTAACTTTATCCTTATATACTATTAAAGTATCCTGAATTTTTTATATAAACTTAACGAATTTTAATGGATTTTTAAAATATACACTCCTAATGTCTGGTTGCCATATTGGATATTATGGCCGCGTACGGTTTGGAGGCCTGGTACCGAGGTGCTCTGACATATCTGAAATAGCCTTCACCTTCACGGATTTATCAAATGTTGTAATAATTTATGGAATAAATAATTTTCATAGAATGGGAATTGGACGAAGCAAACGTAAACCAATCATATTTGGCAACTGTAAAGAAGTTTTACAGACGGTTATAATGATTTATCTTGCTACAAACTTCGTTATTGGGGAAGAACAAGAGACTGAGTTTTGTAAAAGAGGGTGGTCTGAATTTGTTGAAGACAGAAAGCAATGGGAAAGAGAATGTTTAAATGACGATGATATCAAAATAACACAGTGTTGCAACGAAACATTTCACTATCTTGATGAAAGATTTAATGACTACATAAAGTTGTGTCCCATTGTGGGTACGTTTTTTGTTGTTATTGCTAATGTCACAGTTGTTGTCATTTTGCTGATTGGTGTATTGGTTGAGGGATTGATTGGTTGATTGGTTGAGGGGTTGATTGGTTGATTTGTCGATTTGTCGATTGATTGGTTGATTGGTTGATTGGTCGATTGGTTGTTGATTGATTGATTGATTGATTGATTGATTGATTGATTAATTGATTGGTTGATTGATTGAATGATTGATTGCTTGATTGATTGCTTGATTGCTTGATTGATTGATTGATTGATTGATTGATTGATTGATTGGTTGATTTGATTGATTGATTGATTGATTGATGATTGATTGATTGATTGATGATTGATGATTGATTGATTGATTGATTGATTGATTGATTGATTGATTGATTGATTGATTGATTGATTGATTGATTGATTGATTGATTGATTGATTGATTGATTGATTGATTGATTGATTGATTGATTGATTGATTGATTGATTGATTGATTGATTGATTGATTGATTGATTGATTGATTGATTGATTGATTGATTGATTGATTGATTGATTGATTGATGATTGATTGATTGATTGATTGATTGATTGATGATTGATTGATTGATTGATTGATTGATGATTGATTGATTGATTGATTGATTGATTGATTGATTGATGATTGATTGATGATTGATTGATTGATTGATTGATTGATTGATTGATTGATTGATTGATTGATTGATTGATTGATTGATTGATTGATTGATTGATTGATTGATTGATTGATTGATTGATGATTGATTGATTGATTGATTGATTGATTGATTGATTGATTGATTGATTGATTGATTGATTGATGATTGATTGATTGATTGATTGATTGATTGATTGATTGATTGATTGATTGATTGATTGATTGATTGATCACCTTTTCAAAATATTTCGCAGCCAGGCAGAAGCTTGCTAAGCTTTACTGGAAAAATATTTTGCCTCTTGCTGTTTTAAATGTAACAAAACAAGTAAACAACAAAAACATTTAATAACCTATTATCCAAGCCGTTCTTAATCCTGATTGACTTTTTTTTATTAGAAGGCAAATGCACATGCGATGTTCTCGAAAAAAAAATTGACCGTATTACGTACGGTAACATGTCGGACCCAGTATCGTGGATGAAACCAAATATTTCATGTGGACACAAGTTTCAAATCCGTCGCCTGGAAATGGAGCCAGACGTAAGATCGCCGCACAGTTTTCCTGTTGGTTTTAATAAAATCAAGAATATATTTCAACTGTATGGAGGGCGGGAGAAATCATGCAATATTATGGTTTATGTTCGCTCCTGTAAATATGAAGGCAAGTGTTTGTTTAGGTTGATTTCTTTCAGAGACGCAATGATAAAATTTTGTGTGATTGCACGATATAGCCCTCACAGTAACATAAAATGAAGCACGAGTATAAGCGCAGTCAGAGAAAGGGACAATGTCTTGGCCATGTTAATATTAACAAACAAAACGTATGGAACACATTCAAGAATTGGATCGTTCAAAAATGTTCAACATGGCCACGCTTAGCTTGTTTTAATTAGGGTTGCTTTCCATACACACGTGAAGGTCTAAATCCTTATATATGTTAATAAAGGAGTGTTTAAATCGCAAGAACTTAGTTTTGCAGCCATGCGTCATCCATCTATGCATGTGTATGTAATGTATCTGCATGTTAGTATACCATGCTGTATAGAAAATCTCATTTTCATAGTAGTTATAAGCAACGACATTATAAACGTTTTTCACTTAATACTTAGGGCTTAAAGAAATGGTCAAGAACTATGCTAACAGAAGAGGTATAGAACTATACTAGCTACTTATTATTGCTATCAGGAACGCCCGAAAAGGGAAGACGATATAACTGCCCTACCCCTCCCCTTCTCATTTTATCAGCAGGGCCAAATGGGGCAAAGATGCCTTCAATTTTAAAGAATTACGTTCTATATCATAACGAAATTCTATATCATTTTATGAATTTTATGAAGTGCATTGTACAAAGTTTCAGATTGCAAAAAAGATATTCTCGTTCTATGGGACAATTATAATTTTCTTGGCTTAAATCCGCACGTGAAAAGATTTTTGAAGAATTTTATCAGAAATAAGAAACTGGGCGTGGAGGAACATGGAACCCATCTTGGTTTCATTAGTGTCACAAGCTACAACACAGGAAGAAAATTATTTAAAGTAGGGGAACTTAGGAATAAAACTGAATTGATAAAGTGGTTGGATAGTTTTGAAAATAGCACTGATCCGAGCAGAAATACGACCATCATAAGAAAATCATATGAAATCGAGCACGTAACTGATGTAAGTCAAACCCACTGGCAAAAGTACTCAGAAACTCCTGGAATATCTGTCATTTTCTCAATATTCTTCTGTAATCAATTGTTGAAAGTTTCCCTCTACTACTGCATTTGCTTGCTTTTAGCCTAAAAACGGTCCAAATTAAATGTGAATCAGTAATCGTTTGAAGAAAATACTGAATCATCAAACATAGACTTTTATCAGTATACGATTACACTTTCACTGATTGTAGTCAACAATTAATTAAAGTTGAATAATAAATTATTTTTGTTTGGAATGCCTGCTCCTTTCAGGCTCGGTCGCTCAATGAAAGGAAGAGAGAAAATAATATGAAACGACAAATTCTCATCTTCAATTTAAGGTGTTCAACAACGGCAGCATCAACAAAACTTCCCGTCCTAACGTGGACGACGTCATTTTGTTGCTATTATTGAGCAACGGAACGGACGCTAGGGTGGAAAATCAAAGCAGATTTAAGGATGAGTTTATGACAACAATAAAGAAAAATGTCACTATTATTGCCCTGCTTGGAAGCATTGGAGACGAGATCAAAGACTTGAAACTTCACATCAAGCATCGGTCGTCACCACAGCTAGTCTTTAATTCAGTACTCTCGGACAATTTTGACAATGTTGTGAGTAAAATTGTCGATGCTTCGTGCACACATTCAGGTATGCAGATGATGTTAAAAGTTAAGAAATGAAAAAGTTACGAAGTAAGCGAATAAAAACTCGCTATAAACCGACTTTTTAGACCAAAACTTGTACCCGCCGTTTAATATTTTTGCTGGTCATCATTTTCAAAACAGATGAATAGATATAAATTATGTACATGTTATTTACAGTCAGTCTGCGATGCCGGAATAAAAAAATATTTTCCCGCGGAGAATTAAACAAAAAGTTCTAATATATAGGTTTTACCCTGAGCTATTGGCTTATTCTATTGTGTTCTATTGTATTGTTCGTATAATTTTCTCAAATGCCTCAATTCCTCAATTGTTATGCGTTTTGAAATGTACATAATTATTGATTCGACATTACATGCAAAACTTTGAGAATCTATTTCATCACTTTTAACGTTGACGATTTTATAGGGAATATATATAAGCGTAATGACAAGTAACTAACAAGGAGGGATTTCGTTTTAGACCAATCAGCAAGTTTGTTTTCATTTTCAATAATCCAATCAGAATGTATAAATTTTGATAAGTACAATATATACCTTCTTACCTAATTACCTAAAAATTTAAACAAATATGACGATTAGTTTAAAACGAAATTCCTCCTTGTTCAAGTAACTCACGTGTTGCTAAATTATGGTTAGCTTCAAAATACACGATTCTGATTGTCCATTTATGTCTCTAGCAATGAGTAACAGCTTCTTAAACAACCATTTCCCCTTTTTCTTAGGAGGATGTGGGTGCATAAGTGAACAGGAGTTCATTGCATATACTAAACCAGGAGCCCTCACTGGATTGGTTAATTGGACAATACCCGACGTCACGTGTTCTGATTACGAAAGAGGCCAGGTTGATCCACCTGATCTCACACCTCCTGCAAATTTCTCAGTGGGAAAGCACGTGATTACCTACCCGTACTCGTATAAACGTGGTGGCAAAGTGGTTCAATTTAAATGTTTTGTCAACTTTACTGTTGTTCGTGAGTATTTAGCCGGTTTCATTATTAACAACCGGGGTTAGTAACGCAGATAAACTGGGCTAAGGTTAGGGCTGCTTTCTACTGTCGCGTTTTTTATACGCACGTACACGAATGTAAAAGTCTAAATCCTTATACATGTCTAAGGAACTTAATTTGTTGACGCACGTGGTAAATGATAAAAATGTGGAGGCATTTAAACTTTTCCTCGCGTAAAAAATCAACGCGGCAGTGGAAAGCAGCCCCAAGAGGTAAGGAAACAACAAGGTAGAGTTGAAGATTAATTTTCTTTGAAATCTGAATGCAGATTTTTTAAAACACTCTAAAATACCAGTATTCTTCTGTACTGAAATACAACTGGATCGTTCTGGCCGTTCTTAACGTATAAAAGGAAAGCGCCCTTAGAACTTTGTACCGATCCGGGGTGTAAAAAAATAAACACGTCATTATGTCAGTTGCTTTTTTTGTATACAGAATCCTTAGTTGTTTTTTTTCTTCCTGCTTAAAAACGTTTTCCTTTTTTAGCCTGTGAATGTCCATGTCCCCAAACAGTGGAAGAATATGTAGACTATAGGGGAAGGGCCTTTGTCAGTTGGGTAGAACCTAAACCAAATTGCCCAACCATACAAAGTTCAGGTAATCCGATCACAACCAGTGGATATTTTGCTTTTGGAAATTACACACAGAACTACAGCTACATACAGCAACGAGACCCAATCATTTGTTATTGAATGCCATGTAACAATTGTGGTAACTATAGGTGGGTTAACAGCATTTTAATTAACATAGTAACGCTACTGTATTTTATTATACTTTGAGCTAGTTAATCTGGGGCTTCATCAGTTAATTAATTAACTGATAAAAAGGGTAATTGCACTGTGTGGAGTGGGATTTGGTGTGAAATCAAACGTGGGATTACAAAATCACATTAGAGTAAAGACCCTGGGTACGAGGTTGGTCACAAGTGTGACATGTAATCAAAAGTTGTTGGGCAATTACTATCCTTAATTAACTTAAATCTACTAAATACGATCATTGCCATACATCTCCCCCAACTTCCCTCTCCCCAATCAATGATGGTTACACGTTTGCAACAAAATATCCGTCTATTTGGGACACAACATTGAAAAGGGGGCGCGGGGGATCTGGGCTCGTGTTTTAAATCGGAAATTTTGTTACATGTCGCAACCCTTTTGCAAATGATTGTACGCCACACGGCAGAGGTCATAAAAACAATGACGTAATAACAAATGAAGAATATCACACAATATATCACGTAATAAACATTTGCCAGCAAAAGTGCAAGAGGTCTGCATTTGGACACTTTACAGCTGAGAAGGATATCTATCCAGCTTCCCTTTATGCCAGGGGCCAGTTGTTCAAAGCTGGGTTAGCGCTAACCCTGGCATAAATTTTAACCACTGTTTTGGTTTAAGTGCTTCTGAGCCGCTGTTCATTTTAAAACCTTTACAAAATATGGCTTTTGTCAGTTCACAAAATATTTATGGAAAAAGATATTCAACTTTGTGAACAAGCGATTAGAAATATTGATGTAAAGATTTCCTTAAACCCGGGGTTAAGCTAACCTGCTTTTGAACAACACGCCCCAGGGTGTAATTCCTATAATCTCCAGGAATAACTTTACAAAAATCTCTTAAAAATATGATTGCGAGTTAGAGCTGTATTAATTTAATCCAACTTACTCTGGAACCGCCACTGGTCGCTTAGAATTCGGTTTTAATAATTTCCAGGTGTATCAATCCAGTTAAAAGGGCCTTCAAGTTCAAATGGTATTGGTCGTGTGGAGATATTCCATAACGGAAAATGGGGAACAATCTGTGACGACCAATGGGATATCAAGGATGCTAAAGTTGTGTGTCGTCAACTTGGTTATCAGGAAGCCTTTGCGGCCCTTCAGGGAAAACTTGTTCCTTCTGGTTCAGGGCAGATATGGTTAGACAATGTTCGTTGTTCTGGGAATGAGAAAAATCTGGCCAGTTGTTCCCATAGAGGCTGGGGAGTCCATGACTGTCATCATTTTGAAGATGCTGGAGTGAACTGCTTTGGTAATCCGAATTTACATTTTTGCCACCTATTCTTATCAATCAGCTTCCTTCAATCTTCAGCCTTGTGCCCAGGCGCTTTAGTAGAAAAATATGTAACGTTGCGTTCAGGTACTATTTAGGCTCGTAATCCCCGAGCCCGAGGCTAGCTGGAAGCAGCAAAACAACTACAGCTGTAGATTGTAAATTTTAACCAGGCATAAACATTTCCTAGCAATTTTTTTATGTTTAATGTAATATTCAGCAGTTTCAGATAAAAGTTGCATACATTGGTACAAGTCTGCCAGGAAATCTGTTGGAATTTACATCATAAATCCGACACCTACCTTTTCAAAACCCTTGAATTGTATGTTTTTATAGTTATCGCCCAGTTTCATCCTATCTTTCCACATTTTATTTTGTATAAAGTTTTCAAAGCACTTTTACAAAAATGCTTGCGAAATTACAGTTAATTTTGTATTTTGCCATGCGATCAGAAAGTTGCTAATTACCCGCGTCACAGAATACGTATTATCAGAAATGTAACTTCGTGTCCCAAAATTTTCCCAAAATACAGACGTCATACAGAAGCCATCATTCCTTGTGATTTTTCATTATTTCTGCCGTTTAATTTTAGTAGTAATTTTGGGGGTTTAATTGATAAAAATAAATTAATTTATTTTGAAATGTATTTTCATCTCCGTAAATGCCAAAACATTAGTGAACTTACAATCATTTTTAAAAGTAGTTGGGTAATTACTATTTTTAAACAAAATCTACTATATATGATCATTGCCATACATCTCCCCCACCCCCTCCCCCCAATCAATGATCGTTACACGTTTGGGAGCAAAATGTCCGTCTTCTTCGGACACAACATTAAAAGGGGGCGCGGGGGATCTGGGTTTGTGTTTTAAGTCGGTAATTTCGTTACCTGTCCCAAGCCCTTTGAAAATGATAGTAGGTCACACGGCATAGGTCTTAAAAAAAATGACGTAATAACACATGAAGAGTATCACACAATATATCACGTAATAAACATTTGCCAGCAAAAGTGCAAGAGGTCTGCCTTTGGAAACTTTACACCTGAGATGGATATCTATCCAGCTTCCCTTTATGCCAGGGTGTAATTCCTATAATCTCCAAGAATAACTTCACAAAAAATCTATTAATATGGTTGCAAGTTCGAGCTGTAGTAATTTAATCCGACTTACTCTGGAACCACCACTGGTCGCTTACAATATAATTCGCTTTTAATAATTTCCAGGTTTTTTAATCCAGTTAAAAGGGCCTTCAAGTTCAAATGGTATTGGTCGTGTGGAGATATTCTATAACGAAACATGGGGAACAATCTGTGACGACCAATGGAATATCAAGGATGCTCAAGTTGTATGTCGTCAACTTGGTTACAAGAAAGCCCTTGCGGCCCTTCAGGGATATCGTGTCCCTTCTGGTTCAGGGCAGATATGGTTAGACAATGTTCGTTGTTCTGGGAACGAGCAAAATCTGGCCAGTTGCTCCCATAGAGGCTGGGGAGTCCACAACTGTCGTCATTCTGAGGATGCCGGAGTGAACTGCATTGGTAATCGGCATTTATATTTTTGCAACCAAATCTTATCAATCAGCTTCCTTCAATTTTCAGCCTTGTACCCAGGCGCTTAGTAGAAAAACATATAACGTTGCGTTCAGCTACTATTTAGGCTCGTAATCACCCAGCCTGAGGCTAACAGGAAGCAGAAAAACAACTACAGCTGTAGATTGTAAATTTTAACCAGGCATAAACATTTCCTAGTAATTTTTTATGTTTATTGTAATATTCAGCAGTTTCAGATAAAAGTTGCGCACATTGGTACAAGTCTGGCAGGAGATTTGATGGAATTTACACAATCAATCCGGATGGTAAGAGTTCTTTTCAGGTCTGGTGTGATATGACAACCAATGGAGGAAGATGGACGGTGATTCAGAGAAGGAAAGATGCAAGTGTGGATTTTTATCGTGGTTGGTCAGAATATAAAAAAGGATTTGGCACTCTCTCTGGGAATTTTTGGCTTGGTTTAGACAAAATACATCGTTTAACAGAATCTGGTCAAAACACATCAAGAATTATCCTGAAGTCTGGTGATGCGATAGCTTCTGTAAAATATTCGATGTTTTCTGTGAGTCAGGAATCAGAGGGTTATAAACTCCACGTTGGTGGATTTTCCACAGAGGGTAAATACACAGGTTGCTACTGTCCAGAAATAACCTAAGGCCGATTTCAATTAGGCGGAATTTTTCGTCTGATATTCTTTTCAATTGTGAGAATTCGACCGTAGCGGATTCCCTTCATTGGTCAAAATTAAAAAGAAAATTGAAGGAAAAATTTCGTTTCGAAAAATTCCGCTCGGTGGAAAACTGCCCTGACACTGCAGTTGCGGTTGCAATTCGGTCGCGGTTGACCGCAAATGAAAGGAATACGTTTGCAGTTCGGTTCCTAACGAAATTTTATTAAGAGCTTAGATCGACAGCACAATAATGATGGCAAAAAAATCTTAAGAAATGTCTGTCAGACCGAGTTAATATAAGCCGAGGTGTTAAACCTCCGTCTCACTACGGTTTGACCTCGGTCTGAGCTCGGTTCAACCGCGATAAGACGGAGGTTTAACGTAGATTAACCGTGATTTGTTAGGTTATTTCTGGATACTACTGTAGTCAACTGGGTTTTCCAGTCATTTCATAATTTGAGTGTGGAGTCAACCCTGTGTATAGTATTAAACTGAGGGTCTGTTGCATGCATGGGTTCTTGCAATCATATAATGTATCAAAAAGCTGGTCAAAAATATTTTGTATTTTACTAGTAATGGCTAAAATGGCAGGCGAAAATTTAGGCTGAATTTTAATTTGCCAGCCATAATTGAGAAGATGATAAATTTTATCGTCGTCTTAAAAAGTCAGCCGTTTTATAATTATCGCATCCTCATTTTCAGGACCAACTATCAGGTTGCGGGGGCCATTAAGATCAAATGGTACAGGTCGTGTGGAAGTATTCCGTAACGGAAAATGGGGAACAATCTGTGACGATAACTGGGATATTAAAGATGCTGAAGTTGTGTGTCGTCAACTTGGTTATCAAAAAGCTAACGAAGTCCTGCAAGGAAAGTATGTTCCCTCTGGCACTGGACCGATATGGTTAGACGACGTTCATTGCACTGGGAATGAACAAGAACTAACTAATTGTCCTTCTAAGAACTGGGGAAGCCATAATTGTCAACATTCTAATGATGCTGGGGTAAATTGTTCTGAAAAAGGTGAATTTGATAACCCAACATTCCTTGCAACAAAATCATTGCAATTACCTTTTTTCTGCTCGCTTGTTTTGGTCAAGAGCTAGTTCAATGAGGAAAAACTCAGGAAACACTGAATGTTTAATAATTGTTTACGCACTGCAGTTTAATGGACACGTTAATAAAGGCATGTCAAAGTCTGTAAAAGCATTTTGAATGAATCCTATTCAATAATTCTAAAGCAGATAAAATTAATTCTTAAATTTGCCCGGAATTACTACAGAATTATTTTGCTCTTTGGAATGATATTTAGGTCCTAAATTTACTATATGTTGGTTTAGTGAACTGTTGGTAATAACCCTCAGGAACATTGCCATAATTTTAGATGAAACAGTGAGGCTGCAAGGGCCATTAAGTTCCATGGGTATTGGTCGTGTGGAGGTATTTCATAACGGAACATGGGGAACAATCTGTGACGACGAATGGGATATCAAGGATGCTGAAGTTGTGTGTCGTCAACTTGGTTATCAGCAAGCCCTTGCAGCCCTTCAGGGAAATCTTGTCCCTTCTGGTTCAAGGCAGATATGGTTAGACGATGTTCGTTGTTCTGGGAATGAGAAAAATCTGGCCAGTTGTTCCTATAGGGGCTGGGGAGTCCACAACTGTCGTCATTCTGAAGATGCTGGAGTAAAATGTGCTCCAAAAGGTATGTAGTTACTATGTAATCCATCATGATATCCAAAACTTTTAGCAAATCAGCCTCCTTCACGTTTTCACGTGGAAAACAAAATGAAATCACATGTTTTACCCCGCTTTCATTGTTCTTGCTTAGGCTCGCCCCATGATGCTTAGCATCTTCCTAGTTCTAGTTACGATGACAAAGCAAACCGAATAGTGGAGAATTAATGGCTTATTTTATAAAGCATGATAAAAAAGTGGAATTGCGTTTAATGAGCCTTGTAATTTTTTGCCTGGGAGGTGAACTTGCACTAGTAACTGATATATGTAATAGTAAAAGTCTGGCCGACTCTAGCCTGCCGTAAATTTAGGGTTGTTTTCCACCGTCGCGTACGTACACGCACGTAAAAGTTAAAAATTACGAAATCAACGATTAAATAGATTACGTGCAAAAAAAGCGACAGTGGAATGCAACCTTTACATACCAATTTCCCATGTGTCAAAAATTGACACCATTTTCCTGCAACTCAATGAAAATACGATTACTTTAGCTCATATCCAAGAAAACGTGCGCAAAGTAAAGGCTGCTTTCCAGTTACGCGTTTTCATGCGGACTTAAAGTCTAAATTCATATACACGTTGTTATCTTTGAAAAAACTAAGTAAATAAATCTAAAGAACTTAGTTTTCCGCATATTTTAGTGTGCATCTGCAGACCTTGGTGTTAAATAAAAAACATTTAGGAGCATTTAAAAATTTCCGTGCGTGTACCTGCGTATAAAAAACGCGTAACTGCATGGAAAGCAGCCCTAAGGCCTAAAAGAATAGTTAAATTTAATATTCTCATGTTACACGGAACATGTTTGTACCGTTGTTTGCATTTGTACGCGGTGAAGGTCTTTTCTGCTATAGTAAATACGAACTGAAAATTAATATAATTTAATTTCAGAAAATGCTGGAGATTCGTTGGTTGATAATAACGGGGCAAAATTCAGTACCAAGGATAGAGATAACGACATGTCGAGTGAATTCAACTGTGCTGTGCTCCACACTGGTGCATGGTGGTACAGTAACCATGACAACACATGCGGAAACTCCAATCTCAACGGTTTATTTCCTAGGGCAGGTATATCTTCAGGTGGAATGACATGGTACAACTGGAACAACAATCGACTATCTATGACAAAAAGTGAGATGAAACTCCGGCAGGCTGATTTTTAGAACAGCATTCCACGCAGGATTGTTGGTAATTTACAACACAGGCCTAGAAAACATTATTTCACTGAGTAATGACAGTTTAATGCTGTAGCAGAGTGTTGTAGAATTGATCATAATTATTAATGTTATTAATTATTAGACTAATAACGAATGTGTATGATATATACAATTGTAGGAATATTTTCACGAGGCGAAAAATAGAATGTTCTTTCACTGAAATAGACATGGAAGCATATATGACAGCTGTAGCTTTACCTAATCATAATACTGAATAATTTAAGAATTGCGTTTCGTTGTACATGTGGTTTTTTAGATAATATGTTCCCCTCTTCTTCTTTTGACTCATAATTTATCATATTGAACGCGGGGATGTTTATTTTAGAAAATCGCTATAGCATAGAGTTCACTGCGCTATAGTAGCTAGCGCATGCATGTGATGAAACTTCACAGAGATGACAAGAAACATATATATTGCTCGAAAACCAAATCCTCTTCTCTCTGGAGCCAAGCGATTGAACTTTTTTCTATATATTTATGATTAGCTAGTCATTAACAACTTTTTTGTGAACTAGTTGTTAGCAAAACATATCATGATTACAAATAAACCGACACATGCATGCATATAGACATCGCGATTTCAGTGCAAATAACAATTAACAAGGAAAGTTCAAACAAATATAGCCTGGTTTTCATTTAGTGGTAATCAGTTGTGAACATCATGTCAAGGTGCTGATGTGTTCAAATATTTCTAGATGTGTGTGCACCGATTGCCACAGAACCATAAAGTCCTGCTAGCTGAACCGTTTAACTTTTATCAAATCAAGTACGTTTTCGAGATCCAATTTCGCTGGCAATTAGGGATGATAACGTCGCATGTTAGATGGTGTCATATTTCGTAAACATCATCCTTGTAAAGCCACTATAACATTTATTAATTGTGTAGGAGGACGAAACTAATGAAATGATCCTCTATTGTGATCAACCGTAACTTCTGTCTAGCCTAGCACATGCATGCAGCAGAGAAATATGTTATTATAAAGTTAACTTTTTTATCGAGCTTGAATTTGGTATTTCTTTTGAAATGGGGCTTGTTAATTGGTTGTATATATCTATTTTCCCAAAATAGCGTTCTGCATGAGGTTGGATTACATTTTTACACTGGATTTACAGTCGACTTGAGCACACATGACAACAGAATAACGAATGACAGAATGGCCACTCAGGGGTACAACATGTGCACCCCCCTGGCATGATCCGCCATTTTGCGGGTGAGTCATACCATGCACAGAATAACGAAGGATTTCTGTTCAACATTTTATTTCAAACAGAAGAAAATCACTGAACTTATTTACACACATCACTCATCAGGTATTCGATAGGACAGGCTTCGGGGCCTAATACTAATAGTCGCACAATAAAAATATTATATACTAGGTTACCTAAAGGCAGTAGTGCTGCCTATACTCTTAATAGCATGCGCAAAATGCTTGCTTGTTAAAAATTCATACCATGGTTACGCAAATTATAGTCAAATGTTATACGACACTTCAAATTACAATAGATCAAAGGTCAAATTCCAAATGCGCGAGGTATTTGTGAAACTAAAACCCTGAGGCTTTAGCCCCTTAAATAAAACAATCAAAGAACTAACTTAAAAGTTAAATACTTATACATGCTTTAGTTACGCCACACAGGTTTACCCCAATGATAAAAGTAAAAGAAAATATGTTTCAAACCTTTTAAAAAAATCGAAATGACAAAGCTATAAAACAAGAGACAGTCAAATGTTATACGACACCTTAAAATCACAATAGATTAAAGTTCAAATTCCAAACGCACAAGTATTTGTAAAAGACCAAAAGCACAAGACTCCAATTGCCAAGTAACGGTATGGTTCACCACGTCGCTTTTGGTGTCCGTTTATACAACAGTGATGCGTCATGCGAGCACAATCTCACGGCTAACTCAGTGTCTGCCTTCCAAAAACACTTTGAATTTGAAACACTGACCGTATAAAGCATGGAGTCGTTTTATGGTATACCGACCGCATTGCATTGTGGTAGGAGATCTTTTACCACAATGCAGTGCGCTATTTCGTAAATTTGCTTCCCCTACTACACAAATAGGGACTGCTACCTTGCTCGGCAGCAATAAATACGAATTGTATATGTATATCGGTAAAATAATAAACGTATCGGTAGGCATTACATTTTCCTCACGTCAATTAAGTTGTTGGAATCTTGTTATCTTTATTTGTAAAAAATAACAATTTTCCTCGCTCATGAATTATGCTTCACATACTTCGGTCGAAACGGGAAAACAAATGGTATGGCTTGCCAATCCTCAGCTCTTGCTTACGAATAAACGCTCCGAACTAGAAATAAGAAAAGAAAAAAGATGCGCATCCCGTCACATGATAACCAACTTCCAATAAAACCGCCGAGCCCCGCGTTTGAACGTACTACCAACAAACAGAGAAGATAAGAAGGATCGGGAAACCGAACTCTAGAAGTTCAGGGTGGGCCCATAATATTATATTTCTTCCTCCGTTTGCTTGCATAATCAAAACAGGCCTCCCAAGTTCCAAGCCTTTGGCTTTGTGTAATTTGAATTACTTAACAGTTATTTCCAAACGCTGAGGGAAACAGTGTGTTTTGTGCTAAATAAAAATAAACCGGAGGCCAGAGAAGAGCCAATTCCTATAAACAGTGCTTGTATAGATTAAAATATGAAACAATATAAAGTTAACTTCAAAAACAGTTGAAAAATTCTTTATTCCGAAAAATATAAATGTTCGCCACTTTCCTGTGATTTCCCAAGGGAAAGCATAGGAATGCGCATCAAATTTTATAATTTGTCCTAGGGAAAATCACTGAAGCCTGAAGCCAGCTCGTGTTGATCACGCCTAATCATTTAGATTTGAAGCCCTCTACGCGTGGACCTCTTGTCCAATAGGAAAGCACTATAGGTATATACCAATAGTATTCGTTAACATAATGAGCGAATTTAGCAAAAACATTTTATATAATTCGACGTATTAGCACACAGTCAACCTTAAACTATTCTAAACTTGTATTAATAGAGTATATAGATACCAACATTTTTTAACCGTATACAGCATTCAGTTTGGAGATTTGAGCGTTGAAAATTTTCAATATTTAAATTCACCAGCTATAGCAGGCAACTTATATAAATAATTTCAAATCATAGTCATAACATTAGCATGGAAGCGAAATTGCAAAAAAAAAAACAGCTTCTCCCGAAATCCTAGGAAATATTTTATCCTCATTTTAACATATTTCGCCATTTGTCTTTCAGGTTTTGCGGAGTCCTTTGCGGCATAAAACTGTAATGATTCAAAATCTTTTTCCATTGAAAGCCATATTTAGAAACGCCTTCCTTGAGGTTTTCCTCTTCTTGGAGAGTGAACGGACATCGTTTCTTTGGCTTATAGCAAGTAGCCTGGAAAACACACACAGATTTAGTAAATTCACAATGTTTAGCTGTGAAAACACTCATGAACAACATGAAACAGTGATGAAAGATAATAAACTATTACGTCGAGAAAAAATAAAATTACTACAAACGCTCTGAAAAGCACCCTACAAGTTAGTTTTGCTTCTTAATCGTGTTGAAATTTGCAAATGGGATGGGAGCATATGAACACGTCTGTTCACAATAAATTAGACAAATTGCGAAAATTGAATGTAAAGATTTGCATATCCTGGGTTAGGTTAGCTGTGTTTTGAACAACTGTCCCCAGAAATAAAACTTACCTGCATTAAACTTGTGTATTTCTGTTTCAACGTTTTTGCAGACCTTTTCGTACTAAACTCGCAATATTTCTCAATGATATTGAATCTCGGCCCGTATTTGTCCACGCCTGTTAACGATGGACATATATATAAAGCAATGGACATAAATTATTTAAAAAAGGTAGGCCAATAAATTGGAAAAAGCAGCTGGGGGCTGTTTCCCACTGTCTGTTCATCAGCGTAAACATTGCAACGACTACCAACCTTCTTTGAGAATTTCAATTTCGCGTGCAGTAAAAGGTTTTTTGGTGGGCCTTGAACTGTTCCTTTGTTCATCGGGTTTTACCCTCTTTGCTATCTAAAAAATACATCTGCCATTGATTTCATACTCGAATACCAAATACAAATTTTTCCAAAATACAACCTATAACGTTGCAATTAAAGCATTTTGAAGTTAAAATTAATTTGAATTTATTCTACCTAACCCAAAATCTGGCACTGCGCGCAAAAATACCTAAACAATCATACAGTAGTGCACTCAAACGTATGCTTCTTACTCACATGTCTAACGAATAGCTGCGTCATATCCTACCTCTCTGGGGAAGCCTTCACAGCGCACGTTAACCTTTGGAGACGACACGAAGTCGAAATCTGGTGACCGTTTTTTTGTTTCTTTAAATTTTTTGTATCTTTGAAGAGCAGATACCACTTCCATAAAAAACAAACGATGTTCAGTACACGTGTTGATGCTACGTCGTATACTACTCAGATAATTACGGCTGTTTACTTTAGCGAAGTCCACGCGACATCCCAGACATTTACGGCAGATCTGAAATAACAATAACCTTTTTTACTTCAATTCTGCAGAAACCAAAATAATAAGAACGAAGATGTACTGATCATGCGAAAAAATGGAAATGGAATTTAAAGGTGTGAATGTATCAAAATCAGGGAAACTGTGGAATAAAAATAACTAACAATAAGATTATTAACGCCTAGAAATTATCCCTTAACGGTGATTTTCACACAAATTCATATTTAACTCAATTTTAGAATTGTTAAAATATTATGCAGCAAAACTATCAGTAGAGTGTTGCCTCAAGCATTCCTTTTAAAGTAGGGCGTCTTTAGGTATCGCGCAAACATTTTCAAGCTTATCATCAGGGCCCAGGGTACAAGAACAAAATCAATTTCACGTGTGGCATACTTCAATAGTTCGCTTATTTTTTGACCTATAATGCTATCACTGGGTCTATATAATTACAGGGTTTTTAATAGCTTTAAGGCCAATAAAAACATCTAAAAGAATAATTGCAACAAGAAAGTGGCATTTATTAATACCGTTAAGGAGAAGAGATCGTATTAATTCATTAAATTTACCCCTTTTTTGTTGCGTTCAAACAACAAAGGCTCCTTTCTTTTTTTCCTGGGTGGGAAAGGTGCTTTCAATATCACGTCATGTACTGGTATATCAACATCGACAGACTTATCAACTGGAGACTCAGAAGGAATTTCTTGACCAGGGGAAGGAGAATCTTCATGATCAGATTCTGACATTCGAAGCCGTCGTTTTAAACCTTTTTCGTTGTTTCTTTTCTCGTTGGCCGTTGTTATGAACGGCCTCTTGCTAGCTCTGCTGTTGATCATTTCTATATTTGAAATAATAATGAACAGCGCTGTTTACATTGGATGAATTGAGAGAAAAAACGATTTGGCAGTTTTTATGCTAGATTCACTAGAGAGTTAATTGGCCTTTTTTCCTTATTAGGTTTCTAAGAGCAAAGCAGGAAAATCATGGGGTTATATTTTTCCATAAAAATTTTTTTTTTCTTTGAAAAAAATCCGAGAAAGATTTAAACGTAGATTCTGATGTTTAAATGATTTTATTAAGTAGCCACACTAATTTAATTTTGTACGCGTGATGGGCGCACCAAAATAAATATATTTCCAGAACACAAAAGAGCATAACATCGTTCTTGGAGGGATGTTGATAACTCACCTGTCTTCTGATTTTTTGGAGTTTCACCACAACGAATGTTTGCAACTTTTTCGCAATTGCTATCACCATTACATTTACAGGTTTCAGAACAGACGTCAGATGAAGATCTAATTGTATCTACATCCAATTCCTTTTGACTGGGTATAATTTCGGAATTTGGGTCAGGGTTAGTTTTCAAATCCTCCACTATTGGATAATCCTGATTATGGTCAACTGTACAATCAAACGTATTTGACTGAATGGGTATTTGCTCATTCGAATCAGTTACAGGACCTGCTTTGATCGAATTTCCAATCGGGTGAGGCAAAGGTGATTCACTGGCCATGGAGGCTTCGCTTTGTTCTGACAATCCTACAACATCACCATTCTGAATTTTTTCGCCCTGCATATCTTCACTCACAATCTGATTGCAAGGACTGTCGTCTATTGAATTACTATCTGTGGAATCTAATTTCTTTTTCATCTCATCACATGTGGCACCTGTCTCGCTAACTGAAGTATCTACTTTATTGCTGTCAACGTCTTTATTCGAAAAAATTACGCCAGAACGCGTTGTAGTGTTCATCATATCCATTAAACGATCAATTCGATTGTCACTGACTGACTTTTGTTCCTACAAGGTTAATATGAAACTAAAAACCTTCAATGATCTCATGTCCAGCTACAGTTAAAAGCACACTTATCGTGTATTACTAAGCTATAGAAACAATGCTAAATTAATCTAAAAAAGTATTTTGTAGTTAATTGCAATATTCTGCTCACCACTGTAAATGCACAGAGTTCTTTCAAAGAACGGACTTCATTCGTTAAATCTTGAATTCGATTAACTATCATATCAGTTTGTCCAGTTGGCATTTTGTCTATGTTTTCTATGAAAACATTACTTTCACAACCATTACTACTCCCATTCTCCACATTTGTAACATGTACTTCACCTGCTATATTCTGTTTTCCTTTTAGCAAGAAAGAAAAATATTGCATAAAATGTGCCCTGGTCACAACAGCTTTTCCAACATTGTCACAGAAGATTAAATACGACAGCATACTTTCCACTTGAAGCTTATTATCTGGCGCTATCTGCAATTTTGTTAAGACGTCATCCATACACTCCGGAATCGTTATTTCTGAAGAAATGAATGGGACACTTAATAATGCACCAATTCCTTAACCTAAGCACAAATTGTTAAAAACAGATGTGATTAAAAATTTTTATTATCAGAAAACAGGTGCGTTTAAAAGACTTACTGGTTTGCTCTAAGTACGTTTGCAAAACACATACAGCGGACTTTTGTAACTCCTCGCAATTCTTTAAAATTTGAAGGGACTCAAATACAACATGGTCAACAAAATTAATTAAGTATCCAGGGTGACAATCAACATTTGGCAACAGTCCTTGCTACACGCAACCTACCTGATTTTCGGCTAACACCTTCACTACCGTAGGCATCCCATCATTCGTTAAAAACTGTTTGCAACTTGAGTCTGGAAAGAAACGTGCCAACATCTTTACTACGAAAACCGTTGTAACGCGACTTTCGACTTTTCAAAATGTTCGGTAGGATTTTCTGTTCGGTCAATTAAATTAAAGTGGGGGGCGGAATTTTTTAGTCCACCAATCACAATCGGTGTGAAAAAGCTCTGCCCATATTAACTTGATTCGCGGAACAGAAAATTTAAAATTCAACCTAACGTTTTGTTTATCGAGAGTCACGATACAACTGTTTTCGCAGTAATAAAAACGTTTTCTACGGTACACTTGGTTTACACTTATTAAAGAGTCGTCTTGGGGCTCTGCTTTTTTTGCATGCTCAGTTTATTTCAGCAGTACTATGACACACTGCTTACAGTATAAAATTTTCTAGGGCTTTTAGCTGATGGAAAATTTGGTTTTACCTGACGGGAGTTTTATATGCCTACATATACGACTTAACGGTGGACTTAGCAGTGGAAAGATTCTGCAGCTATATCAAACCGAACATTCTTGCACGTGCTTGATCGATGCTGGTCAGTGGTGCACTAATCTGGACACTGGGTCTTGGTTTTTGGACGCACCAGACTTCCATTCTAAAATCTAAATCCACTTACCACATCCTTCAATACACGCAGAAAGTGTTATCAAACACTGTATTTTAAACTTGGGAGATGCAAAACAAAGCTGAAGTGATTGCAAAAGGAGGGGAACAATTTCCATTTCCGCTATACTGTCGCGACACATGTCTATCAAGGTATAAAAAAATTGCACCTTCTCTTAAGTAACAATTATTGCACTCTAACCGAAAAAATCCATTACCAACAGTATCCGAAAGGGGCATTCTACAATATTGGTTCCGTTAGATAGTCTAACGCAATTATTGTTCTAGTTACGCCCCTGATCAGTCTGATAAAAAAAATATGTAAATGAAGTAATTGATAGCTACTATCACGTCGATGCAGTATGACGAGTATATGTATATTCATGAAATAAATTTTAGCGTACCATTGTCACGCACAGCTGCATCTATTGTCAATATCAAGATCTGAAGAACAGTGGAAGGTATTTGGCCACCAGCAAGCAGGTCTTCTCGAAATATATCATATAATACCCTTATACCTCCTACCAGACGAAAATTGACTTTACAACGACCTAAAGGAGAGCGTTTTTCAAGGCAACACTGAACTGGTTTAAATTATGACTCTATATGAGACCAACTTGAGAAGAAAGGGGGGATTTATTTAAAAAATGGCGAGCATTGGGAATAATTAGACAAAAAAGTACAACGACTTCACAAGTGCAATTAATATTTAAGACTACAGGACTTTTGAATTTTTATACTTACTATTATTTACTAAACAATTTGTTAGAAATGTGAGGGTACTGGTTTGTATACGTGGATAATCGGAATTCCTTAGATAAGCCACAGCAGCAGGAAACGCTGACGAACATAGAAATTGGTTGCCATCTTCAATTAAAAAAAAATGTGTTATAAAATAAATAAAACTGCAACCATTCGATGATAATTGGAAGTATTTTCCACATCAAAAGATTTCCTCATCGAATAAAACTTTAAAATTCATTTTTGTGACAAGAGGTAGCTATATATGTCTCCCTATTTGCACATCCGAAAAGTATACGCTCATTCACCTGCATATTTTGCATATAAAAATAAGAAAATTGCACAAAAAATCGCAGCAAAACAAAAACAGTAGAAATTAAATGCATACTGTTTTGTGGGTTATAAACACAAACAGACAAGGCATGTGTTGCTGTTTGCCAGAGGTTCATCAGAGCTTCATTTTCTTGGCAATTTGATGAAAGGTATTCCGCTAGTCTATTCGGAAGGCGTGGAGAATGCGATGGAGAACGAACATCCCTGGAAAAAATCACAGTCAATTGTTCTTGAAATACTTATATATAGTGAAAGTCAAGCCCGTGGACAAACGGTTTGTTAACATTTCTAATATCTATACTTTTTAAAAATACGTACGCTTTGTTAATATGTAGCTATAATTCTGTTTTAGGTTCGCTGTTCTTTTAAATGAACGTATATTAAAGCGTATGAAAAATTGTAAACGTGCAAAATTTAGGCCAAATTATTGTAGAGAGGACCCTAAATCATCTTGCTTCGTAGTTGATCGCTTGAACTAATTTGCCACCAATCTTTGCTTTATATACAACCTGGACCTAGTTGCGCCTCGGTGATAAGATGCTCTTGTTTTTAAACCTCGTTTTTCTCTCTCCACAAGGGCCCAATTTTCCCCAAACTAAGAGAGTAAGTGTTTTTAGGAACAATCTATGTACATTATTTTGGTAGTTTGAAGATCTAGATGTATCTCAAACTTTCAAAAAAAAATTCGAAAAAACGCGCGGATTTTCTGTCATTTTTGTGTTTGCTTCAATCTGATTTCGTAACAGCAGCATTTTTTTCAAATCTGATTACATATTTGGGAAATTCAGTCGCGATACCTCGGGTTTACGTCTATTTTACCAAGCTAGCGCAAGATTTAATATCATGAAAACTTCATCGATTTAAAAATGTTTATTTTTCACAAAAGAGTGGGTCTACTTGCAAACTGAGCACAAAGTCGGCTTGAACCCCCTCCCCCCTCCCTGAGTTATCGTTCCACTTGTATTAGAGTTCATTGGAAAATATACGGCTGTTGCTAGTTGCTATGACTACTTTCTTTCATGTTATCGTTTTACCGAGGCGCGGGGTTTCTGCATGCATGTTTTCTAGTTCGCTGCATAAATCACTAATTTGCTAAAAGTTGTGTTAACAATCTGTTTCTACAGAGTATAGCTATATGGGAATAAAGCTTACTTGAAAAGGTAACGTAATGTTTCAACGCATTTTGTCTGCCTCGCCAGATTCTGCCCTTTCTCTGAAATAGAAAAAAGAATTGAAGAAGTATTGGTATACGACTGATGAGAATTCTACCGCATTTGATCTTACTTCGTGTTGCCATAAATCACCATCAACATTCTACTTAGGCCTACCGTTGTTTTTAATTAGACAAATCAGTAAGTAACTAGAGAGTGTTTGCAATCTTATCGACGATTTCATCAACAAAAATTTCTTCAGTACACAAAAGATCTTTTGGGTGCACAATACTTGTCGGACGCTAGCTGAAATTACAAGAACAGTGATGAAACGCGAATATTCCTGAATGAAAACCTCGACAATCAAAGTAATTTTGAGCTTGACCTGTTTGTAACTCAGAGCAGCACCATCACAATATTAATTCACCTGATTTATACACAATAATTTATGAAAGAATTTAGGTAATTCATTGCTTTCATATTTTGACCCCGTAAGCTCTTTCACCTAACCCTTTAGAGAAAAGAGAGGGATTCGAATAGTTCCCTGGGTCAATTTTCATATTAAAACCTGAATCTATTAACAAAGTTGATCTTAACAATCCCTAACTAAAGCCTCCCCTGACACTAATACTATCTTTTATATTAATCATTACCAGACCCTCAATAATCCTAGGAAAACCATATAACCATTGTCAGATTATTATAATATTATAGGCCGAAGCTAATACGGTACATGCAAGAACTACATAACAATGTCCTTAGTCTCAAAACTATTGCACGTTTAACATGGACAGCATATGTTATTACCATTATTTTCACAAGCGGCGCACATTGCATGTAGAGAAGCCTCTCTAAGCGAGTTTGGTTGGTCGTCAGGGGATATCAGTATCTTTAAGATGTGTTCTAAGCCATTTGTATGAACCAAGAAGCTCGATGTATTGTCTAGAAAGAACCAAATCAGCAAACTATAGCCATTACATTCTATTGTTATATACCTAGTGTCGCAATTCAAATTTCATTCTATTGTTATATACCTAGTGTCGCAAATCAAATTTCATAATTTTCCCTAGGGCAAATTATGAAATTTCATGCCTGTTGCTATGCTTTCCCTAGCAACACGACTATGGAAATCACAGGAGAGTTTTTGAAGTTAACTTTATATTGTTTCATATTCTAATCTATACAGGTCTAGGAATTAGCTCTTCTTTGGTTTATTTTCATTTTGACACTAGATATAACAACAAATATATCACATAGTTACTGACACTTCGGGAAAGCACTGCGTTTTTTTGACTATCGGCCGGAGGTCTTGCTAAAGGAAATTTGTAAATAATAATTTGAACTTCAAAAATAACAACGTAAGTAGGAGTGTAGAAACCTGGACGGTGGAGCATTATGCCTACAGGAATGCTATGAGTCAAACAAAAATGGCCCGATCCAGACCAAATAGAAGTATAGAACGCCATATAACAATCAAGGAATTCTGAGAAATAGCAGGAGGTGGCCGTGCCAATAGCATTAACACGTGAGCATCTAGATCACTGCCACATTCCAAGAGAGACGTCACGCCTGATTTTCGCAACAAAGATCTGCTAGACCTACCATCTATATTTCTACACGATACTTAAAAAAATACCACGTATGCTTTCTTGTAAATATTTCATGCATATCTGGCTATTGCACGTCTAAATAAAAAGACAACTAAAAAATGCACTGCAAATGTAGCAATCTTACCACTGGTCCGAAATATAGATGCCATGGTCTTCAGAGCTTGCTCCTGAAATTCTAAATCTTCGTGTCGGTATTTAATACTCTCAATCAATAATTTTAAATCATCCAATGCAGCTGTATCAGCCTCCATTCTTTCGTCATGATCATCCATAGAAACTCAAAACCTGAACGAAATATTTATCGGTAAAACTATACAGTATATAGCCTATGAGTCACTAAAAACCAGTACGCCTCGGAGCAATGACCTGAAGGACAATACTGATTAATAGTGATGTACAGGGCCATTTGTCTGAAGGGCGTCTAACTGGAACTGCGGATAGGTTTAAAATTTAAAACAATTTTGATATCCATTATTTGAATAACTGAGCTAGCTAAAATATTTCAAGCTAAACAGTTTCATTTTCAATGAAAGTACATATTATTTAGTGCAAAAGAATGAAAAGATGCAGGTTCAGCTGCCCATCGAAACCGGGGGTGGCCCAGTACTGTGCTAGTTTGTGTCACTGAAAGTGAACAGGCATTAAACTGAAACATATATGGGGGGAAATTAAGGTGCTGCAGGATCTCACCATGACCTTTTTCCGAATAGACGCAGCCACCACCCTCCTCCCCCCTTATCAAAAGTTCTTTCAACACCTGTTCAGTCATTCACAAGATGTACGTATGAGTAATTTGTAAACATTAATTGGCTTATCCATACACTGTTTAAGCTCCACACCTTTCGAACAACCGGACCCTGATATTTGTATATCATGTGTCTGTAACAGCACTGTGACGGAATATCGGTAGACAGTCCAGATTGTCACATTTTTTGATAAAATAACATATGGGCAAAATATTGGTCCTATAAAACTTAATTGTTAATTAACAGAACATTTTAACTGAGTGTTTGAAAATTTTACCTATTAAGAATTTCTCTTTTAACTGCTTAGTTGTCAAATCAGTGGATCTAAATTATTTGCACATGCAGTATTCATAGTGTCCAGCAATAAAGGCTTTGCTTCAGCACATATGCAGCTGGGTTATATAGGGATGTATTTGGTGCAGAATAAAATTAAAAATTACTCTTATCCCTATGCATTTATCATGATCATGTCTAGATGATGCATCAGTTTGACTATAAAGAAACAAATTAAGGTAACTTAATCCGGGCGAAAGGCCTCGGTTAAAGATAAAAAATCTAGCTCTGCATATATAATAAACACATTTAGTGTTCCAGGAACGGAATAATAATTAAGTAAAATTTTGTGAACTCACCATGCAAAATACAAGTACATTTTTCAGTTTATCCATAAATGTTGGGGCCGCAGAAGATCATTACAGTAAGAGGGGGTAAAATATTCATATATTAATTGTTCAGGGCCAGTTGTATAAAAGACTAATTAACTTTTAACTGTATAGTTAGGGACAGAATTGGCAAATCAGAGTTATGTATTTCTGAGTTGACTATAGGATTTAACTATGCAAAGTGTAGTGTCTTAGTTTCTTTTAATTTTAATTTGATTAAAGGGTTAAATTATAGTATGTCTGTTAATTAACATGAATATATATACCCCCTCCCCTTAACAATCTTTCCTGGCCCCTGCATAAATGTATAATATTATCCTAAAGTGGGGCCTCATATACTTTTCAGCCAAGTCACTTGTTCAATGATTTACTGGTATGTCCTGATTTACTCATTAATTTTACTGGTAAATCCTTACTATAGGTATTATAAACAAATTTGCTGATTATATGGTCTAAACGTACAAAATTCCTTTTTGTTGCTAGGGTTACAAATGTACAAGGAATTCTCTAAGGCACCTGGGGATCGAATCACAACTCATTGCATATGTACACTGGAAATTAAATGCAAGATGCATAGAATTTTTATGAATGTATACTCTTTTGGGATTTGGGATGAAACATATGTACAGTATTCATAGCAGAAGTTTGTCAGTGAAAAATTATTCTTATACTGGCTCCAGGTATATCCAGGTATGCAATCAAGATTATAATGTATCCAGGATCTGGCTGGAGATAAGTAGATTCTAAGCAAATTTTTCAAGGGGTAAAATTTGTAGTACAACTGGTTGTACTTATTTAGAAAGAGCCCTATAATAAACAGCACAAGAGAATACAATAATTACAAGGATTTATAATAATTACATGCACATTAAATTGGCTGCCATATAATGGGGGTCATAATGAATAATTCAGGTTATATATAATGTGCTATAGTACTTTTCTATAAGTACTAGAATGCTGGGCAAATTCTACCAGTTATAACAACCAAAGAAAACCTTTGGTTCAGGACATGCAACCTAGCTAAAAACTCCTAGCTTCAGATATAAGCTCAGTACTTGTCATAAAATGAGTTTATTGCCTGAAGAAGGCATATTTTATTTTACTGTCTTTGAATTCCCTCTGAGTAAGGCATATAAAGCATTTGACAAGATTTTTAAATATGAAACAACAATAATAAAATTTATAAATGAAAAGATCCTTTGTTTACAAAATGATTTTGTTCCGAATATAACACTAAAACCATCCTAATTAAACAGAATGTATAAAATTAAGGTATAATATACTGAAACGATTACTTGAAAAGAAAAAGCGAAACAAATTTGTATAAAAAACAATTGAAAAAATACAAATAAATTTGCATACCTTGAATCCTTCTCAAATTCGTGGGAAAAGGATATACAAATTCCCGCCAAAACTAAAGTCACGTGACTGGCTGCGCTAGCTCTTGTTGAGCCCAGGGCCTGTGCCAGGGCACTATATAAGTGCCGAACTCACCCCCCGGTACACGCGAGCCCACGTAGTGTTAGTATTGTTTATAGCAAAAACAGTAAATACCTAAATACTGTATAAAATATGGAGACGCACGGTTTTAATAATACAATAAATGTGTATTACGTTATTCCTGTTCGTTGTTCATGAAACATTAGTACTTTGTACGCGATCTGCAATTCATTATGTTTCCTTTACGTTTTCAGATGTTATATAAAAAACATGTACATATTGTCATAGTTTCCATGGATAGTCGTTACTTAATGATTCGAGCAACAGAGGGAGGCGTAGGCGTAAGGCGTTTGCAAAACTTGGACCGTCTACACTTTACATAGTCTATGACGTTACTGCCGCTTTACACCATAACCCGACAGATTTGGAACGGGTATAAATTTTTTTATAAATTTTTATAAAATATAAAATAGGTATAAAATAGTTTTGGCAATCCGTTGACACGCAAACAACTGTCGGTTGAATAATTGAAGAAAAGCAAAAGGGAATGCTAAATGACTGAAGAACAAACACATGACGTTCTTCATGACGTCAATTACGACCATAGATACACAGCAAAACATATAAGGTCAAATTGGGACCAATCAGGTGCCTTTCGCTCTTCTCCATACCGGTTCAGATGCCAAAATAGGATTTTTCTGGGCAGTGAGCGATTTGAATGGGGAGGGGGAGACTTTCGTGACGCCAGTCACGCCACTACGGTTGGCGTCGACAGAAAAATGCTTAAAGTTCATCCACCGGCGCATGTAATATGATTTATCTGCATCGTCATTCAGCGATAAAAACAATCACACGATAAAATAATGCTTGTAGAAGAGTGTAGTTTATTCCATATTTCATGGCGTGCCTTGAGGACACACATTATTACACATATATAATTATACTGATAAATAGCTCTGTCATTCAAATGAACAATCACTCATTGCTCATCAATTTCTCATAAACTTACATAAATTTAATACTGTATTTATACTGTTTTTCATTTTACTGCGTTTTTTTTTTTTTTTGCGTTTTCTTTTTTTTTTACTTTTTTTATTTTGGTCTTGGGTATAATCTGCCCCGAGTGGACGCCGGCGAAGGTGTTGATAAGTAATCAGCTGGATTGAAAAACGGTACGGCGGGAGACGATTGAGAATCCTGAAAGGAAAACCACACTCAATAATCATTCCTCACTTAGGAAAACATCCTGAGGATAATATCGAAACAGAAAGGATTCCTTTATGAGTGACACTTGACACTTGAACTAATGGTTTTAAGCCTTGAACATAAAGGGCAATTTTGTTTATTCCGCCTTTCATGCATCTTATTTACAATTTTAAGATAGCTGGCAAACCTAGTCACACAATTTGCGTTCCAAAAGATGGGAAGATCCAGTTAAATGTGCAATAACGGTGGCCTTATTCTTTCATTTACCTGTCAGTTAGTCGACTGTTCCTCCACAGTATTGTTGGCTACACTGCTCTGGTCAACGCCGTTGCTCTGACTGTAAATAAAACAAACAACAATATTAGTACCTATTTGGGATCCATATTATATATCCACCCTATAATACATCACTATTTAAGAATACTCTTCACAGATATTAACAACTAAACAGACACTGCAAAAAATAACAAACCTGAATCGTTGGATTTGATTCTCGCGCATTTTGAACTTTGTTGTCAACGAAAAAATTAAACATCGCGTATCAAGACGTATTGTTAAATCAAAGTGGTATTTTCACATACCTAGCTGGCGGCATCGGTGATCCTTCAGTATTCGACAGAATGTCTAAAGATAGTCGAAACGTTTTGTAGTTGGTGATGTATAGTTGATAACACTAGGCTACTAGGTGTAAGTAAGCGATTTCGTTCTTTAACACTTACTGCTTGCTATTGGTGCCTGATTTCCTGGTGGTGCTGGAAACGGTTGGAAAAGGAGAGGTGACGCGGTTTCGTTAGGTTTCGTCGTTGCCCCTGAGGCACTCAAGACATCAACATAGTTCGATCTATGTCCTGAAACAACAGTTCAAAGTTCAAATGTAGAATTCTAATCCAAACAATCTAGATTCTCTCAAACCATAGACAATCTAAAAGACAGGATTGTCTATGCTCAAACCAAGCCATAATCCTATCGAAATCTCCGCTCTAATCATTATTAACATATTTTAGATGATACCTTTCGAGCTGTGAGCTCTACGCGAAAATCGGCTAGGTGTCGATAATGGTGAATTAATCAACGATATTTCTGGTTGATCTGGAGTAAAAGCGCCAGGAATGATTGGTGGAGCGTTTGCCGCGGGAGGAGTTTGCGACGCTGATGAAGCCTGGGATGCTGGAAGTTGCGGTGTGTTTGAGAAACCGGTAGCTGCACTCGATGTGCCTAGACAAAGAGGAAGTCGGAGTTTGTTATAGCAACATAACAGTTTTATGTCTTTACATACTCAGATTATATTTTCCCTTTCCCAAATATAATGCAAATATAAATTTATTAACACTATCTTATAATTCAAAATTAGGCTGATGAGGTCTGTAGAAATGAAGACGTTGAATTCTTGAAAGATGTGATTTGGGATCAGACTTGTATATGGGCCTGTAAAATACTTCATTTACAAGTCGACATTACAAGTTGCTTACCAGATGTTTGTGTAGGTTGTCTAACAGTTCCTGATGGGATGGTAGGCATGACAGGTTGGGCACCGCCAATCAAAGATGGATCAATTGGTGGTGGAGGCAAATCAGCTTTCTCCTTTTTAATGAAAGAACAAAGATTAATATCAGCTTTATAAGCGTGTGCATTGTGAAGAAAGAAAATACACACCTTTGCAGCACACTACAAAATAAACCATGTTTTACATTACCTCTTCACCTTCTTCCGTGTTCACCCACTTTCCTTCTTTTTCGTCCCAATAGATCTAAAGAGTAAACATATACGAAACTTTTTAAACAATAAATCATAATGTAATATATATTTTCGTAAACAAAAGCTGAAAGGCACATATTCGAAGCAAGGCACTATAACTTACAGTTTTCTTCTTATCGTCAGGTAAGATAATCTCGTTCTTGCCTTTGGGAATGAAAGATTTGAAGAAACCGCCGAATGACGTAAATAATCCCTAAATAAAATGAAAGTCAAAATTTCGTTGGTTTAAGCATTGTTTAAAACAACCGCCCCTAACACACAATATAAACTAACAATTAAACTTGCTGAAACATCTGTTTTCTACCATATACCTACGCACACAAACTATAAAACAAGACCTCGGAAAAAACAGAACATGTTTCGCTAACGGTCAACAATTAGCTCAATACGATTACTGCATGTTTCTCAATTCCGGGTTGATTCTGAATCTGCAATTTGAAACTGTAAAAAACTTACGCCACTCTGTTTCTCTGAGTTCTTGTTATCGTCTTTTTTGGTCTTCTTCTCTTCCTTGGTCTGGGCTTGAGTTTCTTCCTTCTTTGCGCCATTCGCAATATTTGATTCCTAAAAACGATTTTACAGAAACTAAATATTAGTAACGTACTCTCGTTAAATAATTAATATCCTATGCTACTCGGGTCTAAATTGTTCGAGTAAAGGCCCTATTCATCTAAAGTTGGTGCAAACATCTCTCCATAATACTGAGTTTAATCTATTCCAAATAAGGTTACCAGGATTTCTGGGCGATCTGGTACCGAAGGGTCAATTCTAATAAACATTACACTTACCCTGAAGTTAGATTGAGCGTAGTAATCAAAACTATTATCTGAAGTCGCAGGCGCTGAAATTCCACTTGTTTCGACTGCGTTAACACTAGCATTACTCGGCTGCTTCCGTAACAAATGCTCAAAAGAGTCCCCTTCGTAGAAGTTTGTGCCAGAACTTGGTAATCCTGTTTCATCGTGCTCTATGCTGCTCGGAACTGCTTGTGCGACATTTTCATAGGGGTAATTCTCCGGTGGAAGAGTTTGGTCGGTGGGAGCAACCCCGTAGGGTAATTCCCTTGCGATGGTACTGGTCTTGAGCTTGAAATTCCCCGGTGTAGGACATGTTGCCACTTGGTGCAGCGGTGGGCTCGAATTGAGCGAAACTCTGAGAAGCTTTGTTGTCCTCGCGATATAAAACTTGTTCCTGGACTATGTCACTATTTGTTTGAGGAACAAACATTGTAGGTACCATTGTAGTGGAATTTGAACTTCTTTATGATCAATGTTTTGCGTGTGTTCATACGGCATTTCCTGTGGAAGTTGCGATTGCTGAGGTAGTTGTTGCGCCAATGTTTGCCAGCTGCTGGTAGACAAGAACGAGTGCCATAAGGTTTCGTTGTTTTCCTAAAAAGACAATTTTTAACACGCCTTAGAAACGTTTCGCATGGAAAACTGCAAGCATGCTTCCAGGACAGCATCAGTTGGCGTGTCCTCACAGAAACGACGCTGTCTAATTGTTGATCGCAAAGTTTCACTTGCAGATTTTAGGATCGACATAAAAATCATGTAAAATAAAAATATACTTCGTACCTTGAGTAGATCTAACAATTGTTTCAGGCGTCCGTTCATATCTAATAACGGCGCAATAAATTCTCGTCTGTAAAGTCTCATGGATAACTGTAAGGAAAGAAAATTTGAGCATCAAACGATTTCACCATGTGTATATCAGGTTGTATCTGAAAACAATAAGCTATTCAAAAATTTCATTATTCGCTTTTGATTTCTTGATTTGAGCGAAGGCTAGAACAGGCCTAAAACGTCTATTTTAAACAAATATGCGTAGTTTTACTTGAGAACGGAACGAAAGGTAAGGCGAGAAATGATGACATACCGCATGAAGTCGCGTTATCATATCTTTAGTAAAAGATGTTGAATGCTTCAAGACATCATCTACCAATTTCTCGCAATAACGAAATGCCTAAATAAGACAATGCACGCGTGTTAAATCAAAGATTGTGAAGGTTGTGGAGTAACACCATAAGTCAAACGAAGATATAACAATTACTAACTTTATTATGGAATCCGGCATCGGCCAATGAATGGACGTACAATTCTTTCCATGGCTGAAAAAAACATAACGTTAAAGAATGTGCAGCCAAGGTTCAACTCCATGACCAACCAAGTGTAAAATTATCTTCTGATCTCAAAAAATCTTATTCTATAGAATAGATATCCCCGCAATTTGCGGAAACGTAAGCAAGTATTGAAATACGAAGTAAAGTGAGACGCTGAATTGAACAACTTATGCGGCACTTCTGCGTTCTTCAAAGTTCAACACACATTAGAGAAATCTACAATGAAGTAATTTCTAACCTGGAAATCTTTTATTATAAAATTTTCATCTTTGAGGCTCATAGCGTATTCATATATCTACAGGAACATGTTGTTGGTTAACAAGAATACAAACACAATACCGGCTTTTGACTATTTTAAACAATTTTATAACAGATGCATGTATCAGGCAAAAACGGATGAATGTTTAGGTCGACTGGCAAACAGAGTGGAAATAAAGCAATAAAAAGGCAATGGCGGAATAAGGTTTAGCAAAGTGAAAAAAACATAAGAGAATTCTGGAGCATGCTGCATGGCAGATATATAGCGGCTTCAATAAAGGATTTGTAAGCATTTCTGCGATCTACCTCTGTGCGTTGAAGAGCCAGGAAATCCACGAATTCTGGTCGGATTTCACTACAGAAAACAAGAGTTTAAGTTTGTGAAAAGATGAACCATGAACCTTTATGTTCATTAAACAGACAGACAATGCGACTCTTCAACTTACTTCGAAGAATAACCTAGTAACAATGTGCCACTCTGTTTACTAATTTCTTCTCCTGCTAATATGTAGCAAAGATGAGCTGCTTCAATCAGGCCACGAGACTCTGGAAAAGAGAAAGTAACATTTTGCATGATAGCAACAAACACAAGCAGTATGTCGTTCACCTAAAGTGTCAATCGAAACAAGAATCTCTTGAAGGAAACGTTGCCAGTGTCCTCGTGACTTGTTTAAGCAGTTATCACCGTATGTGAAAATGCATCAACTTGATCACGCATACTACAACGTAGCTTGGACAAATTACCATCCCTGGCTTATCCAAACTGAACTTACCTAAGCTCGCGCCAAGTGCATGAATATTTTCGCTATCTTTAGCGGTTGACTTGGATGGATTTGAAATCATGATTGCCAAATGTTTTCTCCATCGCCTTGTCTTTTTCTAAATTTTGACAAAAAAAGATAGGGTACTTTATAAATTCTACGTGAACTGTACCGGGTTTGTGAACCACATTGGTCCAGATAATTCTTCAAACTCACATCTAAAATTGAAGGTCGCTTAGACCCGAGATGCTGATACAAACATAACAAGGAGTCGTCCTCATTAAGTTGACTGTTGAATCTACAATAAACAATGCGAAAAAGCATTGGAAAATATACTGACACATGTACAATATGGAAAAATAGAGATTTGCAAGCAGTTAGGAGAGATCAAGCAAGAACACAATTGAGAGAGACGTGTACACAACAAGCAGAATAATTCAAATATAGCAAGCAAAGAATAAATGTCGTTACCTTTCCATGATATTCGAAAATACATTCTGGTCAGTGTGGTATGCTAGCATCAAGGCGTGGCCCCAGATCTTGGAGTTTACTGCGTGTTCCAGAGCTTCCTATGGAGTGAAATGAATAAATGTTAAAACAGTTGTATTGTTCTCCACTTCGCCGCGGGTATAAATATATAGCCAGAATTCATGAATAACTCTAAGCTCGTATAACGGCCAAACTACTTGCACGTGCAGTGTTGTTCTAAAAAAACCGTAAAGAAACTGTAGATAGAATGAATTGCTTTCTAGATCTTCTGCATGGAGTAGTTCCTACGTCTAACAGGTCAACAATATTCAAAGGTATTTTTCTACACATGCTTCTTTCAATACAAGCGCACGTAATGGTAAAGATTAATCCTTCTGTACTTTTTACCACTTCTTGCGAACGAATTCGCCAGGAGGAGAGCGGGCTTTCGTCAGGCAAGAGAAAAGCGATGGCAAGATTAATAAACAGCGTACCTGTGTTTTGCCAGCCAAGAGAAGCTCTCGATATGTCGCGACTTGATCGTGTTTGGAATAATCTTGCCCATCAGCTGCAAAGGATACCCTTTCAGAGCTGAAAGAACTACGTTCCCGTCTTGTATAAGAATCTTCGGGTAGGTCCGAGGTTAGAACCTCGGCAATATCGGTGTTGAGGTACACCTGGAATAAAGATCGCAGTTCAACGAATGAAGAAAAGGCCAACAGAAAGAGTTAAAAACTCTCCATATTAAAACGTAGATTACTTAGAAATTATTTTGATCCAGTGCTTTCAGACTGTTTAAAAGTGAGCTAATCACACAATCTTTATAATTTTTATGCATGCAGAAAGACTGAATGTAGTTCTTACCCCATTTTGTTGGACCATAACAGCCAACACTTGCCAAAGAATGTAGCCAGCCTCGCGTTTTTCAAAAGAATCGCTTTGGTTGTTGAAAGCCATCATGGCCATCTCTTTGGCATACTTTACAACATCCCGTTTATGGGTTTTGCCCCTGTGAAAAATACATATATGTTATTGACTGAGCGAGAGGTCCGTACAGGACGGCGAAAAAAGAATGAGATCAGTATCCTCCTGTATGGACCGAACAAGCTCAGTCAATAAACTATTTATTATATGACTAAAAACGTTTAAAATTCCCAACTAAAAAATTCCCGCCGAACCTGGCCGGTCCGTACTGTTGGTTACCGACCGCTCAGGAACCAATCAGAATGCTTGATTTTAGTTGATGGCCGATGAACTATTCTAGACATATAAAAAGTAGAATAAAACATTGAAAATAAATAAAATTTGTATGCTTTTCAAATGCTGAGTGATAATACAGTCTTAGTGCCGAAAAATTCCTATCAATCATATCCTGACTCCAGAAATGAAATCGTCTTAAACCAGCCATTATTTTGGCATTTTACCTGCAAAGTGGTCCAGGGAAATTGCGCATCGCCTCGTTGAATCTACCTTCGCTCTGAATAAAACAAGATCATATGCGTCAATTTATACTGTAGAATATTTTAGGTATGTCGCAACCTGTCAATTGACAAGGGATAACCAACCTGATTGATTAGAGCTAACGCTTGCTGTTTCTGATCTATCTGATCTCCCTGGAAGTCGAATAATACGCTACTATTGGTCTTGAGTGTAATACTGTAACTAGAAATCTATACAAATAAGGCTTAGACAAAGCTAGCATCAGTTCTATATCACAGAATTTCTGTCTCCGCTGTTATTATACAAACGACTATGACTATCTCTGACATTCAGACCTATACCAATACATCTAACTGGAATTTGTCTTCCGCAAGAAGCCTAGAACAGTATTAAAGTGTCGTCCCAGTTGTAGTTATACGTACAGAAATAGTTAATATGACGTAGCTATATGATTACCTTGACATCAGTCAAGTACACTTCAGCAGTCTCACCATCAAGAACCTGTCTGGCTGGAGCAACACTCAATCGAGAGGCGGTTGAAAACGCTCCAACAATATGAGGTTTTGTATGCTGCTTCGGGGTTAGTCGTTCAGGAGTAATTACTACAACAGAAGAAAATATATTTACGATTTTAGCTAAGGATAAACAACCAGGTTTCTTAGGATTCCAGCCTGCTGGAAAGACCTCGTGACAGTTATCGAACGAGCGATTCCAGTGCAGTACCATAAAGGTAACTACAAGTTTCTGATGATTTTTAAACTTTGGTCTTCGGATTTTTGATATCTCGCCAGGCTTCATCCACCGCTGTTTACTACTCTACTTAAATCTTACTCCGTTTAACCGTATCTTCAGCGGCGATTGCACTACTCTGTTGTTGCTTGTTCTGGTCATCCCGCTTGATACTGTCTCCCAGAGAGTTTGATGTGGATGAGCTGTAACTTCCTGAGCTCAATCGTCTTGAGCTACGGGATGATTGGTGACTTCGACCATAATAGTCCTCGCCTCTGCGATAACTGAAAAGAAAATATTGAGAAGGTCGACTTAAAGAGCTCGACGACTGCACGAAAAGTATTGTAAACAACTTTGTCATTCATTACAATACGTTGCAAGTATTATTACTTTTCTTTCAATCATAAACAAATGTAGAACTATGAGCCATGAAAAGCTTTGTGTAAGTAAGGACATTATCTATGTCCACTTTGGAATGGAGCCTTGTAATTTACATCAAATCGTTCTCGAATGCAGTGAAAGTTAAGAACTTACGAATCTTCATAGTCGTAGACCGTTCGTTTCGAGTGGCGGTTGTTACTTCGTCGAGCCCGCGAGCTCGACCGTGATGAAACTGAACGTGGAGACTCGTCCCGAGATGATCGTCCTGAACGAGAACCACGCCGCTGACTATCACCACTGGACCCACTAAAGCCAGACTCCCCGCGATGGTAATCCCGATCATAAGAATCACGATAATATTTATCATAATATGCTCGGTCATTGTAGTCTGTTCTTCTTCTACCCTGGCTCTCTCTTCTTCGCTCACGATTGCGACTTCTTCTCGAGTCAGATCTGTGATATCGTTGATCATCATACTGGCTTTCTCGCCTGCTGCTTGAAACAAATAGTTTGTATGAGAAATACTGTTGTCTGAATTCAAACCACTTCCGCATAAAACAGCACTTACTTCTCTGCACGGATCCACCGTTCTCTTTTGAAAGACCAAAACCACTTTCTGCTCTCATCATAATATCGATTGCTTTCCTCCTCTGAATCAAAATCTTCATACTGTGTATCAGTGTTGCCATGCTGCTGCCATTGATCAGTATCGTTGGTTGAATACTGTAGATTAACATTGCTGCTAACTTGCTGTGGGTATTGCCCGCTAATTTGCCTACAAATGATGGATTTGTTTAGTTGAACACGAGAGGATAATGTGCAAAAAATTACTTCAATTTTGTGTTTTAACAAATTTAGCCAGTAATTTCATGATCTCGTGAATGTGCTTGCCGGCCACTTCGCTATAGTAGTCATGTAGTCTAAGTTCTAGAAACATTGGCTTCTACGTATACAATATTGTAATACTTTACTACTGCTTTCGGTGCCTAAGGTGGTTTTAAGAACTTTATACAGTCTATTGTAGAGTACTTTAAAATATCTCATTTACCTTTCCACTTTTTGATGTTGAATATTCTGCTGGTACTCCTGTGCCTGCTGTTGCAACTGTTGTTGCTGTTGCAACTGTTGTTGCTGTTGCAAATGATGTTGTTGAGTAAACTGATTCGGTTCAGACCTTTGTCGCTGTACATTCATGTGTCCTCCTCGCAGCTGCTGATTTTGCGAGCTGAACTCATCTTGAAACAGCATTTGTTCGTACTGTTGTTGCTTGTACTGCAATTGTTGCTGTTGGTATAACAACTGATGCTGTTCCTGTTCACTCGAGGAAACCATACCTTCAATCTGGCCAGAACCATAACCATCACTGGTAGCAACAGGATGGTCAACATGACCATCGGCGCCACCATACTCAGGGACCATTCCCCCACCACTACATTCACGCATCCGAGCATGCTCACTCTGAGGCAACCCGGTACGCACTGCAGAGCGGCTGCGCGTCAGGATGTGTGAAGGAGTTCTGGGGGAGACCGGTCATGGTCCCAGAAGCAGGGGCAGTCTGTTGCAAGTGCTGGTCAGGAATCTGGTTTGAGGAAGGAATGTTGTTTACTACAGGCGCTTGGATGACATTTGGCCTAAAAAATTAAAAGTATCAACAGTCTAGTCCGTTAATTGAAACCAAAAAAAATAATTCGCCCCCAGAAACACCATGAAATCTTTTTACTGAATAGGTTTTGATCCGTTGACGCCGTTTATTAATAGGTCACACTATTACGTTATGTACCAGTTAATATCGGTATTATATTTAATATTTGAGATAGTTTAAAATGCAAATTTGTACAATGTAATACGTTAATTCTACAACTAGACTCTTAATTTTAAGCTCTTAAATTAACGCTTAATTTTAATATGCTTTCTCTTAAGCCAAGAGTCGTCCACGTTGACTCCAACGTTTTCAAATGACGGTTAATAAACGCAGGTTACGAAGAATGAATAATTAATACCGAAGAAACAAATAATTATTGTAAGACAACAAATAGCTGAGCAATTTAAAAATTATGAAATCCGTGCACAATGTCTTGTAAGAACCTGCGTCTCCCTGCTGAAACTTCTGTCGCTCTATACATCCTAGAATTTTATTAATCTTCCTATATTCTTTACTTTAACTAAAAAACTTCTGAGCGATTACTGATATCTCAGATTATTGTTATTTTTAGGTTATGGTTAGTAGTGTGAGATTTTGGACCATCGTGAGACAATAGTTGCTTAGTTTGTGTGCGGATTTGAAAACGGGTTTCGATCGAGGTGTGAAAAATCGCTATTCTTGGTAGAGAGCCATACTCACCGTTGGATATTTCCTCGGTTAAGACTAGATGGCTTTTCGATCACATCATGAACAGGGTTTGCACTGGCGAGTTCTTGATTTGAACTTGAAACACCAAGTGAACTTTGGCGACTAAGACTGGATGTCGAGTCACAATCACTTCTCTGCAAAGCAGCCGCTAACAGGGTTTGCTGAGCGGCGCTGGAGGCCACAGGTGGATTTGGCAACTTTGATGGAGTACTACTGAATCGATTACGATTCTGTGTGAAGCCAGGAATACCCAGATCTGATGGCGCGACATTAGAATGTGGTTGCTGCGATATTTTGGCATTATGGTCGATCGAAATACCACTGGAACTTGGCGGTTGGCCATGCACATTCATAGCTCTTTGAGAACTGTTGTCGAATTCATGGCGATTAAATTGGTCATGGCTGGAAACTGGAACAAACTGATTTCCACGATTCCCTGTTTGGACAATAAGACCAGGTATGGCCAATTGAGGATCATTGTCCCAGAGAGAAGTATGAATTTTAGCACTTTGAATTAATGCTTCCTTTTTCTCGCGCTGTACTGGCGAACGAAGCGGAGATTCTAAGTGCCGAACTCTTTCTTCGTAGTCTTGGGAGCTCGGGAAGTTTGGCTTCACTGGCATAAAGGCCGACGGATGCTGGTTCGGGTCGACGGTATCCAGTTGTTGACTCCCTCTGGTCTCGGTCGAAGCAATAGATGCTTTATTGGTGTTCTGTGGTGTCATACCAACAGGAAACATGGTAACCGAAGCACCCAAATGTTGACTGGAGAGTGCTTGCTGGTTGCCCGATGTTAGGTCATCATTGGAGATGATGGTGCTTGTGTTAGCCGGAGGTGTATCAAGTTTGGGATCACTTGTATTGAGTGAATTCACTCGCTCGTGACCAAATGCTGGAACTTCCTGGTGACCTGATAGTGAATTACCATCACGAGATTCATCGTCACGAGCGGTCATGGTTTCCAAATTGGGTAAACTTGATTCAAGATTAGCTGAACCGATAGTGCCAGCACCATGGTTACCAAATTGTGCTGACTGATCGTTTGACGATGGGTGAGTATAAAAAATCCCGCTGGACTTTTCACCCACATATACTGGTCCACTTGTTTGTTGCAATGTTGATGCTTGTTGGGTATTCCGTGGAGTACCGTGAGGATCAATAGCGTCCCACTGAGTTGGTTCAGCCTTGACATCGTCGCTTGATGCCTGCGAATCAAATGGCTGAGTAGCCGGTTGCCATGCTGTTTGATGGTTACTGGGCAGTTGTTCTTTACTAGTAAAAGGTACCATGCTGCTTGGTCCCAACTGCGGTGTATCAGGTTGTACAACGTCTGAACGTAAAACGTGATTATTTTCCTCGTTGTTTATAGAAAATCCAGGCTGAGACGCTTCAGAATTAACGGCATTGTCAGACGTGAGGGATGAAGCAAGTTTCCTTTGTGCCGACTGGGTTTCTCCAGGATAGCCTGCCATTGGTGCATACGATGAAGATGTTGGAATGGAATTCTGTGCCGCAGATTGGTTCTCAGCTAGGTCCTCTGTTGACGTCCAAGCACCAGCTGGTGAAAATAGATGAATTTGATTCTGTGCCAAGAACTTTTGGCCGTCTTCCATAAAGAACCCTTGACTTGGAGCGGCAGGTTTAGTGGCTAGGAAAAGGTTTTGCCCAGAAGAAAAACGTTCACCAACATTGTTGTTGGTGGTGTTCATCATCTCTAAAGATGGTGGAGGCAAATGTGCCGAGTTTACATCACGCTTGATATTGGACGGTGGAAATTTGCTTGATTCCCCAACATCCATTCCCAGTGGGTACAAGGAGCCGCTTTGACCTACTGGTTTGCTGGTTGTTAAACCTGGTGGGTAGAGAGCCGGCGTTACACTCTGCGACGATGGACCAGCGGCTTGGTCAATAGCATCATTCACCATTGCTGGTGGATATAGGCCAGAAGTTGTAGATTGAACAGCTGGAAAAGCGTTGCGTTCAGTGGGATATAAATTGCTGGCAAGTTCAACTGGTTGTTTTCCAATTGGATCGTAAGTTTCAACAACGTCTTGGCCTGGTGATGTTTCGCCAGAAGTCTTACTCTGGTTACCCAATACGGTATTGGGTCTAGGAATACCACCGAATGCCATAGCTGAATCAGAGATACTGTGGCTGTGTCCCCAAGTGAATAATTTTTCTGGTCGAAATCAGGAAAAGTTGAACTCGATGGCGGTGCGTGCAAGTTTTGATGAAGATGCATGGTAGGTGTTTTGGTCTCGACTGGAAGGTGGTTCAACTTGAGATGCTGCCGATTCACTGTGGTCGAAAGGCCATTTCCCTACTTTAGGTTCTTTCTCTGATGCTTCTGTATGCTGAAAAGAATGTTGTGCATCGGTGTTGATCGAAAAACCAGGCACTCCATCTCCTGCTACAAAAGAAGGAAATCTTCGGCTCTCCTCCTGACTAGAACTAAAACCTTTGAAAGGATCATTCTGGTGCTGCCCGGAAAACAACTGTGACGTTCCACCACCAGGAGTAGATGATTTTGCCACGTTAAACAGGTCGTTTCCAGTATGGGCAGAAGGCTGTTCTGGCAAATTTGACCCGTAAGATGGTGGAGTCAATGTTGCATGGTTCTCAGCATCCGAGAGCTGTTTGGCATGAGGTGTTTCTTTAGTAGTTGAAGCACCAGCTTCACTAAAGAGTTGAGCTGTTGAATATCGCTCCTGTGCCCCATATGATGGTTCTTGCATCGACATGGCGTGGTCTCCTACATTTTGACGTGGATGTGCATACGCGCTCAGATTTGCTGGCTCAAAATTTTGAGCGTTTGTCGCTGGCGATACGAAACGTTGCTCGGCTGCATTCGATGTTGGTGGCAAGGCCGGGAACGATGTTTGATTCTTGTTAGGCGTAAAGAAACTGTGGTCAACACGATGAAAGGGTGCAGTGCCGGAATCGGATGAACCAAAGCTGTCAAAGAACTCGTGTGCCGACGAGTGTTGATTGTTCGACATCTTATTCTTACAAGGCTGATCTGAGGAGGAGCTGTCTAACAATGTTACTTCGGAGAATAAATCCACCTGACTTGCTTTAATAGTTGCTTGAACTAGGTCTTTAGCAACGGCCCTCAAGATGTATTCGTCTGGTGGAACGGTCGAAGTCGACGTTTTTAATAATAACGCCTGAACTTCTACAAACTTCTTAACTTGAGAGGCAGATGAATCAAAACGCGATATTTGCTCGGATATTAACTCTTCTTTGCTGGTCTCAATAGCTGCTTGAACTAAATCTTTTGCAACGGACCTCAAGATGTTTTCGTCTGGTGGAGGTGTCGAAGTTGGTGATGTTGGTCCAACTTCAATGGCTGATTGATCTAAGTTTTCAACAACTTGTTCAACGACGTATTCGTCTGGTGGAAGGGTTGAAGTTGGTGCTTTAACTTCAACAAACTTCTCAACCTTAACAGTTGTTTTAACTTCCGGAGCTGGTGTCGAAAAATACTTGGCAAGTGGATTGGTTACACCAGTTGCTTCAACAGGATCGTTGGAAAAGGCTTCCAAGATCTTCTTGTTTACTGATGGTGACGGTGTTGGAGTAGCCGCTTCCTTTGAGGTAGATGATGTATTTCTTCGCGTTGAAAAATACTTGGCAAGTGGATTGGTTTCACCAGTTTCTTCAACAGGATCGTTGGAAAAGGCTTCGAAGATCTTCTTGTTTACTGGGGGTGACGGTGTTGTCAACCGATGGGTTAGGTTACAGAGTTTAGGTGGTTCACCAAAATCCAAACCACCGTTCTTTGTAACAATTTGATTAACTGGACTTGTGGCAATCGATTGTGAGTTTCCGTTGGATGGTACAAGTCGGTTTGTTGGAAATCTAGCCGGAACTATTTTAGGTTTTCTGGGGTTGCTTGGTGGTCTTGGGCAACGTCGGTACCTCTGTCGGACGGTAGTAGCTTCCGGTTCACGGCGTCGCCGTTCAAAATTGACCTCACACTCCTGTGAAAATAGAGATCTTTAGAGTTGACTACGAGTTGAGTGGAACGACAAGATTCACCCACAACAACGATACGGGATTCTCCATCATGTTTTCAGGTAATCCAAAACTTTTTCCCGCGATCTATCCTATCCCAAGGGGCATTAATCACTCGTAATCAACCTAAAGCTCTATAATAATATCAACAACACAAGATTTCACTGGTTCGCAGTGCGGTATATGTAGCTGAATGTGCTATTCCAATACTGGAGTAGTGGAGTTACCCAGTAATCCTTCTCCTAGCATTTAATTTTGAAGAGGAACATTTCTGGCTGGGAGCTACCATATGAAGTAGTCAACATTAATCGAACAACGGAACAATAATAGATCCTTTCACACTGACGTCAAATGACGTCAAACCGCGGTGTCATGGCCAGTCCACATCAATTAAATAGCGAGTTTAAGATGCACCAAATTTACGACGCGAACGTGACATGAAAAACGTGTGTTAGGAAACCAGTATTAATTTGTTTTACATACGGCTCTGACTTTGTTTATGCATGAAAAAGAGTCGTCGTAGATTTTGTGCATCTCAAACTCGATCACTAATAGCTAAGAACAAACACGCGACGCTGTAAAGCAACGGTGAAGAAAGAATAAAGATTCTAGATAAAAAAATATCGTTAAAACGTTTGTAAAATACTTGCCTGATGTTGTGCCAAACTTGTCGCTTGTCAATGATCATTGTTGTAATATGTATAAATTGTTATAGTATAGCTACTAACTGCATGTATATGAGCTATTCCGCAATTTGATTGGTCGAGCTATACCCACCGTATATCAGCTCATATACGGTAAATAGTAAAACCAAAGAAAAAGCAAAATGGCTGACCGAATTAATTAATTATTATTTTCATGTAAATATGTATTAAATTGTTAATAAACACTTTTGTCGCGCAACAAATGGTATTTGGCATGTTAGTTATACTAACATTACTTTAAATCGAATTATATTGCTATAGTTGCTGCGATTTTTACCGGGTTGTTATAATAGCTGTATTCTCGGTAGTTGTTATACAAGCGCTTTCTCCTCTAAGTATACATGTAGCTACTCACGTTTTCGTATACCACAAATTGGTCTCTTGGGTCTGATATTCTACGAGCGGCATGACTGCGTGAAAAATTGATAAAATACCGTCAGCAAATGTAAGATTGATATTTTGAATCTTTAACTATAACTCAATACTAGCAGACTGTTGCAACACCTCTACTCATACACCACGCTGACAATGAAGATGTCGAATTTCAGGTATGTCAACATAATAAACAGATTTGTTCGAAATATGGTTACGGATATAAATTTTAAAAGTTAAGTTTTCTCACACCATATTGCTGGTTAATAACAAATGCATGAACAGTTTTAATCCAGGTATGATAACTGATAAGATGAAAATGGTTCCGACTTGCATTTGAAGAAACAAAAATCACCAAAGCAAATTATTTTGCCAGAAAAATAGTGGATATATAAGCCGAGGTCGCATAACGTTCACGGTAATATTAATCCAATGTAGTTTCTAGGCCTAAACTTACCCTTGGCCTCTCTCAATGTCATCAAGATCTAAACGGGCACCATCACTGTTATCACCTGTAATAACGAGAATCTTATAATTTCCAAGTCAAAAACCTAGGAGTAATCCACTGTTTGACTACCTGGGGCCAGTTGTATCAAACTCGTTTAGCTTAAACGATGGAGTGTGGACAAGTCAAAATTTAATAACACTCTTAACGTCTCTCTTGAATGAATCAACTTGGATATTATGCACTCAATATGTAGATGTAAACAGTATCTTTGTATTGAGGTGAAAGATATTTAGTTCGCTTGTTGAATAAAACGATAGACTTGCTTTCTATTTTGAACTTAACCACCGTTTAAGTTAAACGGGCTTGATACAAGCGGCTTCTGACAAGTAGAGTAATTAGGGACCTTAAGATACACCAAATCTACGACCCGGACGTGACATGAAATCAGCCGCTAGTCAGTGTTAGGAACTCAGTTTTAATTAGTTTTACACACAGCTCTGACCTCGTTCACCAAAAGGAGTCCATAAAAAAAGTCTGGGGCTGCAAACCCTGGGTTAAATTTTAATCCAGTGTTTTAGTTCATGTGCTTTTGAACGACCGTTCGTTTTAAAAATTTAGAAAATATTACTTCCATTGGTCCAGAAAATATTTATAAAAAAAGATATTAAACTTCGTAAACAAGCGATTAGAAAAAATTAATATAAAAGATTTGCCATAACCCAGCTAGGGTTAATCTTACCAGCTTTTGAACAACCGGCCCCTGTTGTGAAACTGTGGAAATGAAGACAGTATATTACTTCACGTCAGCGTCGTAGATTTGGTGTATCTTAAGGTCCTTATTATCGAATGAGGGCAACGTCTATGTTATCATAGAAATCAAGAGCCATGTATTAGCCAGAGGTATTTTTTTTAGACAAAAAACTTGTAAAAATGAAAAATCGCACAGAGACGTGGCGTAGCCAATCAGATTGCAGAAATTTTAGTAGTAGTTTTTACTCGTGATAATTAGTCTTGATAATTGCCATGAAAAGACTTGTTTAAATTACTTTATGTTTTTTGGTGTTTATAAAATGCTGAGCAAAAATAGGAAATGAGACATAAAAAACGTAAAAACCGCATGAAGTAAATATTCTTCTGTATACATGAAAGCAACCAGCTGCAAAGTTGAGTCAGGAAAAAGACAGAGATGAACATTTCGTGAAATGGACAAAGTGAGTTATGGGTATGTACAAAATTCGCCCTGCTTCAAAATTCGTTCCTACGTACAAAAGCGTCGAGTGCTTTCAGAACTTTGCGTGGAAGAAATTTACAAAAATTAAATCAAACAACAGCTGAAGAACATGTTTGTGAGGAAAGCGTTGTTGATTTTTTTGTGATATCGCGGAGAGCATGGATGAATGACGTGCTCAAACATACAGAAGTTCTTGATTGTGGACTTAGATTGTAGATTCTCGTATTTTAATTTGGCAAATAAATTGTGGTTGTTCTATAAAACATTTCACACTTAATTATAAGTCTACTAAATATGAAATTGAGATGTGAGAACTGGGATCAAACGCGTGGATGAGGTTTAATAGTTTTTTAAGCTTAGGTCTTTTCTGAGTTTCGACTGAATTGATTGAATCTAAACGAAAAGATCGCAAATGAAGTTTAAAGAAAACGTTTGTCTGCTGTTCAAGATGAAATCCAGAGCTTGCATTAGCCAAACACGACGATTAACGTGAAGTGTACTAGTTACTACGTAATTTCTGCCAGAGAATCGATTAAATGCTGTTTGTACGTTTCCTAAATTACATGAACATAATTTGCGTAGAATTCTGAGCTATCGAGATGATGCTTTTCAGAAGCAACGAAGCTGGCAGTCAGTACCATGCATCTATTATTACGTCACGTAGCAAAAAAATGCGGTGGTGGTGGTGGTGGGATGGATAGTGAAAAATTTAGTATCCAGGATAAGTCTACAAGTCTGCGAAATGTAAACAAGATTTCAGCAATGGAAACCATATAGAAGTCTGTGTACGGTGAAATATCTCTCATATAACCTTTCTGTACTTCAGAGATGACCATATCCTCAGCCACATCAAGTACTGAAACTATAGATGAGTGATATGAAGATCGTCGCACGCTAATTTAGGTGCATATAATTTTAGCCCGACAGATGCAGGTGCAAATAATTTCGGGTCATACCGCCTTGCTCAATCACGTGCATTAGAAAGAAACTGGTCTGGACAACACCAGTCTAACAAGGCAGAGTAATGTGTCTTGATAACACCAGTCTAAGAAGGTAGCTAGAGTAATGTATCTTCATATGACACCAGTCTAAGAAGGCAGAGTAATATGTCTTGATAACACCAGTCTAAGAAGGCAGAGTAATGTGTCTTGATAACACCAGTCTAACAAGGCAGAGTAATGTATCTTCATATAACACCAGTCAAAGAAGGCAGAGTAATGTGTCTTCATATAACACCAGTCTAAGAAGGCAGAGTAATGTGTCTTCATATAACATCAGTCTAAGAAGGCAGAGTAATGTGTCTTCATATAACATCAGTCTAAGAAGGCAGAGTAATGTGTCTTCATATAACATCAGTCTAAGAACGCAGAGTTATGTGTCTTCATATAACATCAGTCTAAGAAGGCAGAGTAATGTATCTTCATATAACATCAGTCTAAGAAGGCAGAGTAATGTGTCTTCATATAACATCAGTCTAAGAAGGCAGAGTAATGTGTCTTGACAACATCAGTCTAAGAAGGCAGAGTAATGTGTCTTCATATAACATCAGTCTAAGAAGGAAGAGTAATGTGTCTTGACAACATCAGTCTAAGAAGGCAGAGTATTGTGTCTTCATATAACATCAGTCTAAGAAGGCAGAGTAATGTATCTCCACATAACATCAGTCTAAGAACGCAGAGTAATGTGTCTTCATATAACATCAGTCTAAGAAGGCAGAATAATGTATCTTCATAAAACATCAGTCTAAGAAGGCAGAGTAATGTATCTCCACATAACATCAGTCTAAGAAGGCAGAGTAATATGTCTTCATATAACATCAGTCTAAGAAGGCAGAGTAATGTGTCTTCATATAACATCAGTCTAAGAAGGCAGAGTAATGTGTCTTCATATAACATCAGTCTAAGAAGGCAGAGTAATGTATCTTCATATAACATCAGTCTAAGAAGGCAGAGTAATGTGTCTTCATATAACATCAGTCTAAGAAGGCAGAGTAATGTGTCTTGACAACATCAGTCTAAGAAGGCAGAGTAATGTGTCTTCATATAACTTCAGTCTAAGAAGGAAGAGTAATGTGTCTTGACAACATCAGTCTAAGAAGGCAGAGTAATGTGTCTTCATAGAACATCAGTCTAAGAAGGCAGAGTATTGTGTCTTCATATAACATCAGTCTAAGAAGGCAGAGTAATGTATCTTCATATAACATCAGTCTAAGAACGCAGAGTAATGTGTCTTCATATAACATCAGTCTAAGAAGGCAGATTAATGTATCTTCATAAAACATCAGTCTAAGAAGGCAGAG